TAAAATTTTATTAAAAAATTTTAAAATTTAAAAAAGTTTGCAGGCAAATTTGGCTGCAAAACAATTTAAGGGATAACAAATCTACTGAAGGACAAGATGTAGAATTTTTTGAATTTACTGAAGGACAAGATGTAGAATTTTTTAGTTCTGCAGATGATTCCCAAAGCAGTAATATATCCGATAATGAATACGTAATGTCTGATCTGTCAGATACTACAGACATTGATGCTAATGAATATATTGAATATAATCATTTGTTTTATGGAAAGTCAAAGGATTCCGAAGACATATATCAGGAATTCCTATCAGAGGAATACGCTGAATTTATGAATATAGTAACATGGTTTCGTGTGCAAGATTTACTTGCAATATCTTTATAAGATTCTTCAATAAATACTTGAATCGTAACGATTACCCACTTCTAACAACATTGCAAGTTGGGAAAACTTTTATTGAAAATCTCAAACTTCCAGGCTTCGGATAGAGAAAAGAAGTCATTTATAAGTATGAAGGGTTAGAATATATCCTTGAATTCAGGACTGTGCTTGATGGGATATATCAAATCTTACTCAACAAAAGTATTACTGAAGAATTTATATTCAAATTTAAGTTGTCTGTTGATAACGTAAATAAATATAAAATTATCAAAAAAAAAATAATAAATAAATAAATAAATAAATAAAAACCAATTATTAAAGTTTGATTTCATAACTTAAGATAACAGGTCAGCATCAATATTCAGATATATATAACTCTGACTCAGTGATAATAAATGACCTAAAATGACCCAAATGACTCAAATGACAAATGACCGGTCATTGGGTCATTTTGAGATTCAAATGACCATTGGGTCATTTGAATTTTATTGGTGGAAATAAAAATAATACGCAGGGGTGTAATTTCGAAAGTTGGCCTGAATTAAGTTTAACTCAGGCCAAAATTTAAAATAACCGGACTGTAAAAATTTCGTACTGTATTTTGCCTCAATATGTATTGTATTGTAAACAATAATACAGTACATTACTTTAATATTTACTTGAACTACTTAGCATAAAATGTTTGCATTATATATAATCTACTTGACGTTTTAACTAAATTCAAAAAGAACCATCTTAAGAAAAAAAAAAAAACCCAAAAAAAAAAGAGTAAAAATTAAGAAAAAATAATAATAATTAGCTTAGTAAAAAGAAAAATTTGTAGTTAATTATTGCATAGTTTGTGTACTTGTAAAAGGTATGCAAATTGATAGCGAAGTGTT